ATGCGGATCCTGAAATTTCAGCAAATGTAAAACAGCGCTAAAAATCAAAAAGACGAAAACGAAAAGCCACCACAACAGTGCTATGCAACATCAGTCTTCTTACATTGAAATTTACAAATGAGAAAATTTGTGGAAAAAACAAAAAAATGAGTGTTTTCGGCAGCGGTGTGAAGTAAAAAAGAGATACCACAAATACTTGGACATTCCGAACGATCGGTATGGAATTTTCCTGTTTAATGGTGTTATTGGGGATGCATTCGTAAATTCTTCAACGTTTTACTTTTTATTCTATTCTATTACTTAAGTAAAATTCTTGCGCATGATTCTTAAAATATTTATTTGTAATATCTATGGGTGGATGAAGCCGCGTATTCGCCCACTGACCTGTAACATATACACGAACTCTACCCAGCAAAAAGCATTGGACCCCCGTGCCTTCCCCCCAAACTCAAAAATTTCAAATTCAGCCCCCGGGTGTGCAAGGTTCCCGCGTATAGCCCAGTAAGGGTTCCTGACGCGAAAATCGCTAACTTGAGAACCAGGGAAACTGGAAGGCTTAAATTTTCCCCGAAGATGATCGATGATTTGTGCTGTCCTTTCGATGTTACTGCTGTTTTTTTGTGCCCTAAAAACTAAAACTGGGGGAAGCAAAATCAGTTTTTTGGGGTGAAAAATCGTTTGGTGGTGATACCAAGCTTAACATATTTTTTTTAAACTTTTCAAAAAAATTAAAATAATTTTTTTATTATCAAAGTTTTTCCCCCAGTTCATGTTTATTTTTCGGTTTTTTTGTTATCATTTTTTCTCGGGCATCTACTGAAAACACTCACCGAGTTGCAAAAGCATATAATGCTGAAGGAAAAATAAAAGAAAAAAGCAATTTGCTTTAAGAACTTACCAAAAGCAAAAAAAAGTGTATGCCTGAGTGGAATATTTACAGCGATGATCAAAAATCAACAAAAACAAAAATAACAAAAAAAAAGCTGAGAAAGTAGGCGGCGAGCAACCAGCACTACTGAAAGCAAAGATTCATTTCTCTTTCGGGAAGACCCTTCCATTCGCTCGTCGTTTTTTGGGCTGTGCACAAGCATTTACCGCAAAAATTATCAAGACGATCCGGTGGGATTTTGACGACCACAAGAACCCTTCAATAACGGCGTTCTAAGCTCCTTGATAAAACATTTCCCTGATTTCGTCCCCTCATCTCCTCCCTCATTTTTTCGTAGAAATCCATCTTCTACAGATGATGCTTTGAAAACCGCTGATTTCTTCGTGGCCAATCGTTCACGTCATCAATAAATCCAACATTTTCTCCAGCCGTCTGAGCTTAAAAAATTTCCTTCGAGGTTTTTCCGGTGAAGCCGAATAGGTGCTAGCTTCTTACTTCGAAATAAATCTTTCTTTTTGTGTGAAAAACGATTAAAAAATAGCAAAATAAATGCAACTGGGAAAAAGAGTTCCCAAATTTTCGCAAAGCACAACTTTTGTAGTATGATAGCTTCCGATCAGCGAATTCTCAAAAGGCGACCCCAAACTCCCAGCAGTCGGGGATCGGTAAACATTCGATTCCCCCATAAATGAAATCCAGCATCCCGTTGAGCATAAAAAGCTTGTTCTGCTGTTTCTGGTCAGTGAGCTATACGTCAAAATTCACCAAATTTCACCCCCAACAGAGGTGAAATCACTAAATGTTTTGTGTTTTGAAAATTTTTGAAAAATTTTTTTGAAAAAGTAAACTATAGATGTTTGTTTGGCGCTGTAGGCCAGCCGATGAAAGGGACACAGTCGAATATTGTCAATTGTGGGAAAGCAGTGAGTGCTAATTCAGATAACCAGATAAGCGAGTCTGTATGTGCATTAGCTGTTGTCCGGTCTGTATTTCATCCCTAAACTGTAAACACAGAAGGGAGAGTCGGTGCGGAATGGGGTGGGAATCATTAGTACAGTACGGCGTATAACTCAAAGACTAGCTCAAAGGCCTCTATTGCTGGTTGTAGCAGCAACAAAATAAAGATCGCCTTGATGATTTGTGCGGTAAATACCCGACCGCTTTGACGACTTTTACCGCAAATGATTTTTTTGCGATCTTATTGAAAACTTTTGTGATAAACCACTGATAGAGGGGCATCCATCCAAAAGCTACAGCAAAATTACAGGGATGCGGATCAGAGAGCAGAAGAAGCTGCCAGTTACGCCCATTCGCTAAAAGGAGCACCACATTGGAATAGTAGCGCTTTTAAAACAAAAATGAACATAAAATCAATATAAAACATATTCACCGCCTTTCCGTCATACCTCCGACATTACGAGGGTGTTACCGGAGCACCAGGATCAGCTGGCGCTTCGTCACTATGCTGTGATTCAGTGGTGGAATCGTTTCGATCCGTCGACGATTCCATCAGTGATGTTTCTTCGATGACTGTTGCTAGCGGCTGTAGCAGTGGCTTGCCATCCGGAATATTATTTTTTCCAGCAGCAGTAGCAGCAGCAGTAGCATTTTGCTCTAAATGCTGCACAATTGCGCGTAATGCTTCCACATGATCATCCATTCCCTTCAAAAGAAAAATAATTATTGGCCAATGAACCGGCTGCCGGCGCGAAGATGCGCATTTTGCATAGTTCCCCGCAGTTTTTGTCGCTACCGGCACCGCTTTTTCCGGCAAATGCTTCTAGCTAAACAGATTACGATAGGCTGACAGAACTGTCAGGAAATACCCTCTTAAAATTTCAGCTTCTAGCTTTCCAGGCTCCCGAGTTAGTAACTTATTCGGGAAAAATTTTCACAGGCCCGTACGTAGCTACCACGCATACCCGGTGTCTGGGTTTAAGCTCATTAATACACAATTGGATAGGAAACATCCCCTTAAAATTACAGTCCTCTGGCTTTTCAGGTTCCCGAGTTAGTGGTTTATCCGAAAAAACTTTACGTGGATACCACCAGAGTAGAGCGCCCATTCTGGGGATTTGGGCCCGTACGTGCACGTGGATTAAGTACCTCAAGTTCCGGCTCTGTAGTTTTTGTAAGTCTTGAGATGAGAAACCGTGATAGATGCACACACAGACAACCCCTCTTCAATATGCGTTTTCTGCATTGCATAAAGCAAAAATCGCATAAAAAAACGAAATAAAGAATGGCATATGCAATCTCTACATGCAATCTCTGTGGTGTTTCATCCCCTAGCTGTAAACACTGCCACAGTAGTAAGAGTAGGTGCGCTTTAGGAGTGGGGAACATCAATGCAGCTTTCTATCGACCATGCTGGGAATAAGATCATTTATTTTCTTAGCACAACGGAACGAAAGGAAGGTTTTTAGGAAAGTTGGGCATGTTCAAAGAAGATTTGTCCAAGCCTACGTTCTGGATCATTGTAGTGTCAGAACTAATAAATATGAAGCTGGCTAATGTAAAAAAATTTACTGGCTTTACACGCACAGTCTATTTTGCCAAGATATTCGTGTTCTGTGATAAATGAAGGGAACAGAAAAGTGCTTACGTATAACAAGCGATCCAACGCATTCAGATGTTTCGGGCTGATCACTGTAAATGGAAATGCAAGCATCCAACATGTACTTACAAGAGACGAAGCACGTGCTTCCAGAAGACGTATATCAACCTAAAATATAAATACACGAAAAATCTGGTTCAATGGCAGAGCTTACGAAACTGGAATTTTTATACCGTCCTTACTTGATGCATATTAGCACTAAATACTATTAAAAACTACTGAAAAATCGCAAGAATACCGCCAGAATTTGGGCCCAGTGCCCGGAAATGCAGCAGCGCTGACAAAATATTAAGTAATGGTACAAGAACGTAACCCCTTGA